TTTGGAATTATGTACAAGTAATTAATTTAACATGTGATTAACTCAAATGGCTATTATGTGCATGTAGATCATCTGTGAGTCTGTAACGAATTTCAAACCGAAATACAGCAGAAAATCACGTAGTTAGGTAAATCCCCAGGGGCGTAGCTACCGCCGTATCAATGATATGGGGCCCCAACATATGTTAGCAAAAAATCGTAGCATATTACGGAACCCCCCAAAAAAGGAGTCTAAGAAATTTTGGTATGTGACCCACTCAGGACTAGCTACACCAGTGCACCTAAGTTAGATTTCAAATTCGCTAGATGACAACAGTAGCGGTTTTTTTGTGAAAATACTGAAACTTCCATAGAATAATTTTCCATATCTGATGTACCTTTTGTGTATTGTCTGGCTCTTGGTTCATAATTCAAATTTACAGTAGTCCATTGTAATTATTACATATGCATAAATTGTAAAAAATAAGAATTGAACAATATCAAAAAATATATTAGAAATCGTGCAGGTACTTTAATTTGGATATAGTTCAAGTAATTCATAACATCTGCAGATTATGCATTAATGCAGTAATTAGGTAATATGATTAATGCTAAACATCTATTTACTGTAAGTAAATACACATAAATATTACAAGAAAATGAAAAAGAGCAACTTCATTGAAATTATTTATTTTATTTATTGCATTTTAAATTAATTTCAATAAAAAAAGTTCATTGCATTTATTATTTCAGTATTGTTTGTTTTAGTCAAAAATTTTCATTGAAAATGATACGGAATTAATATTATTTATTAGTAATAAAAATATTTTTTTTTCACCTAATTTTAGTTTTCTGATGTTCCAACACATTTTTACCTTTTCACTATTTTATCTTAACAGATCATAACACCATGTTTCTGGTAGGATGCAAGACTTGTTTCTGCTATGATGGCGAAATAACATGCTCGCCAAAGCATTGTGGTTCAGGTATTTTCAATTTGAATAATCCATAAGTAAAAATATTTTGTTTATTGAATTAGATTTTCGTTTAAAAAAAGAAAAAAAAAAAAGGAAAATTAGTTACAGACGAGGGGATTTTTTGATAAAAAATTATTTCACAAGTATAAAAATGTTTATTTTATTACAATTAGCAGTGTATTAACACATTTCATTTCATTATTAATACATTAAAAATGAAAAATTACACCTAGCTATATTATAATCATATAAACAAGTAAATAAAAAATATTTCATTTAAAAATGAATGAAATACTAATAGAATGGTGCAAAACTCTCTTAAAATGTTGCAAATAGAAATATATAATTATTTCCACTGGATATATAGATGTGGACTAAAAATTTAGTAAAAGTTTGATTAAAAGCCAAAAATATGTTGTACACATAAAAGTTAAAGAATTGCCTAAATAATGAATGAGTATTATGAATATATACAAGAGTTAGAAAATTTTGTATAGATATTTTTGGATTATACTAAAATTCTAGCATTGCTTTTTCTCGATGGATATTAATATGAAGAATTTTTAATGCTTATTTGATATTATATTGTTATTTTATAATTTAGGACTACCCTGCAATTGCCAGGATCACTATGTTCCTGTGTGTGGTGCAAATGGTAAAACATATCCCAGTGCATGCCTAGCAAGGTAAGCTAAACAGAGAGTCTGTTTTTCTGTTCACATGATTTTGTGAGGCTAAATCAAGAATAATATTCCAATACCTCTAATTTTTTCATCTAAGATCTGCAATTTCATTAATGCATGCTAATTAGTATTTTTTACATTTAAATGTTTTTATTTAGCTATTTTCGTAGATATCCATAGCACCTATAAGAAAAAACCTAAGGATTTCTTTGGAGACTCATAGACATTTTGCAAATGATATCCATGGAAAATAGGTGGTCTAAATATCCATTATGCTAAAAAACAATGGCCTAAAGGCTCAAAAGAAAAATTTTTTTTCTTTTATACTCTTTCATTTTACTTGATTATTAGAGCAAAAAGAAAGAAAACAAGTGAGATAAAAATTAAGTCAATTCCTACATAAGTCAATAAAGAAAAATTTTATTTTAATTATTTTTTATTAAATAGCCACAATGAATATAAATATGTATATACATATGACAGAATCACAATATTAAGCGAGAAAATAGGAAGCAATTTTTCATTTTCCTTTCTATATACACTGGTGTGCAAAAATTAAGGACGAGACGGTTTTTTCAATATAACTTTGTACAAAAGCTTTCCAAATCAACACATTTAATACCGTAAGATCCCCAATACGTAAGGACATGTGTAATATGTAAGCAACACTTACTAAAAGAGAAATCAGAGGGATAAAAAGAATCTTGATTGAAAAAGTAGCATGGAGCGCAATGCGACTGAAGGCCGAAACATCCCTGTGATGGGTGTCCAGCAAGAAACATCCGGTCTTTAGTAGGGGATATTATCTCCCGACTGTGCTAGGCAGGTTTCACAGCGTCTGCCCATGCTGAGAATGAGGGTGTCAATGAGTTGTTGAGGCATTGCTGCCCATTCGTCTTGCAGCGCCAATCGAAGCTCCCGAATCGTTACTGGTGGTAAGGTACGAGTTGCCAAGTGTCTGCCTAGAAAACCCATACATGCTCGATGGGATTGAGATCCGGAGATCGTGCCGGCCAATCCATACGTTCAATATCCTCACTCTCTAAGAGCTGTTCGGCAGCTACTGTGCGATGACATGGTGCATTGTCGTCCATGAAAAGGAACTGCAGACCCATAGCGCCTCTAAAAAGACGCATATATAGAAGAAGAATCTCGTTACAATAACGGGTCCCGTTGACTGAACCTGCGTCGAAGATGTGAAGGTCTGTACGACTACCAAACATGATGCCTCCCCAAACGAGAACACCGCGACCTCCATACCTGTTCCTTTCAATGATGTTCGAGGGATGATTGCGGCTTCCCCGCTCTCTCCAGATGAGTATGCGATGAGAATCGCTACTCAAACTGAATCTGCTCTCATCTGTAAAGAGTACTCGTCCCCATTCATTGTCTCTCCAATTCCGGTGTTCCCGGCACCACAGAGAACGCCTTCTCCGATGGGCAGGCGTTAAAGGTACACACCGTACAGGGCGTCGTGCAAACAGACCACCACCGTGCAGTCTTCTGGCCACGGTAAAACGCGATATCGGTCGTCCAGTCGCCTGTGTCGTGTGTCTAGCGATTTCTCCCGCTGTCTGCCGCCTGTTTCTTCTGGCCTGTAAGACAATGTACCGGTCATCTGCGGGTGTGGTTCCTCGTGGACGACCACTACTGAACCCCCGGATAGCTGTTCCTGTAGTTTGAAATTGTCTCCAAAGTCGTGAAACGATGCTGTGAGCAATTCCGAACTCTGTAGCCACACTGCGGCCTTCCTCCAGCTTCCCAATGATTCGACCTCGGGTAAAAGCATCCAGATGTCGTCTAACAGATTGATTATTCGCCATTTCTCGCTGAGGCAGCAACTCGGTGTGATTTTAACTGCTATACGGCGTGCAATCTCTTTGCCAGAAATACCGATCTTACACCGACAACATGCTTTACACTACTCAGACACTCCCCCATTACGTCTACCTGCATATCTGCGCATGTGCTACCGTACATCACCTTACTTAATCTTCTGATTGGTCTTTCTGTCCGCTCTGCCTCTTCGTTCAGCTGATATGCTAATTTTTCGACTTCGTCCTTAATTTTTGCACACCAGTGTATGGTGTTGGACTATTTTTTGTCTGTGTTACTATTTACTCATTAATGAAATTTAATTATTCTAATAAAATAGTATAATAAATAAATTATAGTTTAAAAAAAAACTAAAAAACACGTTTTTATAGTGAATTGAACTAAAAAGTAAAAAAATAATTCTTAATATAAGAATAAAATGATTAACGAGAAAATTAATGTCATTGTGGTAAAAGTGAGGGTGCTCTATACTAATTGTTATAATTTCTTACTAGCTCTATTTCGAAATGCTGAGTTAGAGTAAAAATGTAGTACGAAGCACACACACCCCACGTTTTTACCACAATGACATTAATTTTCACGTTAATAATTTTATTCTTAAGAGTTATTTTTTTTACTTTTTAGTTCGATTCACTATAAAAGCCTGTTTTTTAGTTTTTTTTAAACTATCATTTATTTTTCATTTTTTAGTTCAATCTAGAATAAAAGCCTGTTTTTTTAGTTTTCAAAACTATAATTTATTCTTTGTTGCATTTATCCTTGAGTTTGATATTTGGAGCCGGAATTAGTCTTGCTCTTCAATACATATTAATTAACGGATATGAAGGGTATTTATTCTCTTCGTTTACGGGGCCTCGGATGAGTCCCATATTGTTATATTTCAAAGATACCGTCTCTATAGATACAGGTCTAACTAAAAAAAGTGTGTTAAGAAGAAATATTAAGTGTCAATCATAATATCACCTTTTAAACGTATTGCTATAATGTTAATTCGTATTATATCACTCCTAAACGTATTGCTTTATAAAAATAAAATATTTAACAGTTTGAACATAAATTATTTTTATTCACATGCACAAGTCTTTTTTTTTTAAATTTCCATTTTCAGAAAAACTAAAATTATATTATGATAAGAACACGAAGAACATTTTTTTTTGTTTTATTTGTATTAACCAGAAACCTATTTGCGGTTTTAGAGTTGCACCTTAATCTTTTAGTTGCTAAATCTAGAATTATTTACCAAATCTGGAAATAGCATATGAAAATAGTAGTCAAATATGAAAATGGTTTATGCAATTACTCGCCAAATCTAGAAACCCTTCAAATCCTTTTTTTGAAAATCTTGATCAGGACAATGAAATAAAATTATGAAATTACTGTATTGTCATCAGTCCTTGACAAGTGTGCAAAATTTCAAATTCATCTGACTTTTTAAAGTGGGTAAAAATAGAGTTCAAAGATTCCATTACATTCAAGTGAAACTTATAAAAACATGTTAAAAAGAATCACAGACTCAGAAATTAAGCCATCCCAGGTGGGATTTGAACCCACAACCTTTGGATTCGAGGTTCAACGCACTATCCGTTGCACTACAGGGACAGAATGAAAGAGTTTCTTTTCTATATATGCTGTTGGACTACTATTTTTGTTAGTTACTATTTATTCATTTCTGAATTTAATTAATGAATTTTTGAAAAAACTGTATTAACATCATCCACCACAAGTTCAAAAAAATGTATTTGAGCTTGAATGGATGAATATAAAGTATATTATTGATTGAAAATTTGAACAAGATATATATATATATATATATATATATATATATATATATATATATATATATATATATATATATATATATAGGGAGAGAGCGAACTAATAGTAAGAATTGAAAAAAAGGGGAAAGGAAGATATCACTAAGGTCTTTAAGTCCCTTAAGCATTGGTATAATCCTAACAATTTCAGAAGTAGACCAAAAATCTTCAACCATCAAATATATCAATGATAATATCTGAATATGGTTTACAAGTCTCGATCACAAGATTTCTTGCTTATTTATTTATTATTATACTGATATTTTTATGTTATGTGACTAAATAAAAATTTGACTGTTAAAATATCACATTATTATTAAAAATATAATTTTATTCAATGGTTGCTTCAAAAATCATTCTGAAAAAGAGAAATATTTTTTTTTATGAAAAAAAGAATTCACTCTGACTTTGCGCTAAGCCTTAGTTTTCATTAATCTGAATTTAATTTTATCGTAAATTTATAAAAACAAAAAGAAAATTAAGATTTTCTTCATCAATATTGAATTATCCTTATAAAATTATCTATGTTATAAAATATTTCGTCATCACATTACAAAATTGAAAGCTTTTATTTTGACCAATTTCTTATGTTGCATTGTGTGTGATTATCTAACAGTTTTTGAAATGGGGTAATTGTTTTTACTTTGAATGCATAATATATGACATTGTTTCATTATTAATACCAACTCTGAAAATGATTTCAGGTGTGTTGGATTAACTGATGATCAGTTTGAGTTTGGTGCTTGCTATGATTCGGATCCATGTAGTCCAAATTCGTGCCATCCTTATCATAGGTATAGTTAAATTTTTAAAAACAATTTGACATTTTAAATAAAAATAAAAAAAATGACATTAAAATAAAAAAAATGACATTGAAACTTTTTTTCTCTTTGTACTTTAGATGCATTCCAAAAAAGAGAGTATGTTTAAGTATCAGACACAGAAGTTGTAAGCAATATGACTGTGGTGAGTTAAGGTTTTTTTAAAAATAAAAATAGTATATATTTTCTTGTTAATGTTCTATCACCTGGTATTTTTTCTTTAGGCATATTTTCTTGAGATTAGGTGATGACCCTAATTTAGTTTGGTTTTTTTCTTAGCAATAATTTTGTTAATTCTTTGCTGTATGAAAAAAATTGCCAAAAAAAACTTCAAGAAATTAAAACAAAAGTTTTATTAAGCGTTGAGCTAAAGAAACGTGTTAATTTGGTATGGAGAATATGTGATATGACAGAAATTTTAACAGAAAAGTGCTAAATTTTATTTAATTATAAAGTTCGAAACATACACATTATATCCTTCTTACACTGATAATATTAATTACATTGTATATAAAAGAACCAGTATGTTTGTTAATTCAATCTGTTACTATAATTAAAAAATTTTTTTTTATTGATATGTTTGAATGTATATTTCTTTTTCAACAATGTATCATATTTTTAGTTAGAATACTTTTTCTATTATGAGTACAGTCTAAAATTCTCTTATAAATTATTCATTCATATAGAAATCAACTATTAATATAACTAATACATTAAAAAAACTGATCAGACTAAATTTAAGTACATTATTTTTCAGTTGACATGCAGCACAATTGTAATCAGCTACAAAATTCACCAGTCTGTGATACAGATAATTTTGAACATAAAAATATATGTTGGATGTTACAAAGAAGAAAAGTGTTAGCTTATTATGGGAAATGCATGGTAGGATTTCTAATCTTTTTTTTCCCTCTTCATTACATTAATTTGAAACAATTAAATTTTATTGCCTTTCACATACGAAATAAATATTTATAATATTCCTTTCATTTTCAACCTTTTAAACACTTACAGTAAACAAAAAAAAAAAAAAAAAAAATTCTGTTAGAAGCATAGACAAAGTTTTCTCTTTATAAATCTTCTTAAATGACTAAACATTAATTAAGAGTTTAAAAATCCATTTCATATGTTTATTTCAAATAAATGGTGCATGACTGTTACAATTATAAATTATACTAAAGTTTGATTCTTGACTATGAAAGGAATAATTTAGAGAGCATGTTAGAAAGAAGCATTGTTTTGTGTGTTAAAAGTATGTGTTGTTTTAACTCTGAATGACTTTATATATATATATATATATATATTATATTATATATATATATATATATATATATATATATATATATATATATATATATATATATATATAATGCTTAATGACACTTCACATGTAGAACTAAGATGAAGAATAACACTAAATTGTAGAACTTTTTAAAGCCTTAGGGCTCTCAAGGTTAGCAGCTGAAGCCTTAGGCAAACAAGATATGAATTTATTGACAAGTGAAGAATAGTTGAATTTTTTTGTTGGATGAATTAAAAAATTGAAAACTAAAATTAGTTATAAGTTATAACTTGCTATAAAGACATGAACTGAAAAAAGAAAAGATATGGGATTAGAGACACTTCTCCCCTAGAAAATTTTTTTCATTAACTACAGTAATTGACAATATAAAGTTATCTGGACAGATTATCAAAATCATACAAAGATCATTTTACCGAAGATGACTGTAATGCTAGGAAAAGAAATGAAGAAAACAAAGTCCTATATCTCTATGATGAAAAAATGCTATGGAAATAGCAATAACTAAATATCTGCAAGAACTTGAAGTGATTTCCTCCAGTGCTCAAACATTAAAAAAAAAAATTATCTTAAAAGGCTACATATAGAAGGGGAAAAAAAGATTTTTTAATGCTTAAAAACAATTAAGATCAATTCAGTAGCAAGTGAAGGATTTTTTTTTTCTATTCCTGGTAATTTTGTATCAAAAGTAAGGACATAGGCAATAAACTCATTGGGTTCTTTTTTTTTTTTTTGGGGCTTTTTGAGGAAAAGTATTAAATATAATAATAATTTTCATAAATATATAACATTTGTTAATTTCTGTGAATTTGTAAGGGCAATTCTTAATCATGATAATTTTCTGTGTGTATTCACAATTAAAATAAATTGAAGTGACAATGGCTGAGTGAGGTGTATATATGTCACAGGCAGTTAAGGAGTTAAAAGATCTGAAAATGATATGTCAAGAGAGTCATTAAATTTTAATTCATCTGCCAAATCCTTGGCACGCACTTCACTAACATTGCACATTCATATAATACATATTCTTTGTTGCCATCTTTATATCTTTTTCTTTGAAGAAATGTGTTACATGCACAAAAGGCATGCTAAGGATGTTGCAAAAGCATTTTTATTTAGAAGTTTTTGCAGCATCCTTAGTATGTCCTTCCCACATATTGCTATCATCATGGTATCCACTCTTATTTTTATGAGGCAAGGTATTTCAAAATGGATTTGTATTTCTTGATATCTTCGGGACATACTTCATTTATGTTGCACATTCTTGGAATACATCTCTCTTCTTAGTCCTCATCTTTGTAGTTTCTTCTTTGAAGAAATGTGTCATAATATGTACAAAAAGCGTACTAAGGATGTTGCAAAAACATTTTAATTTAGCTTTTGCAACATCCTCAGCACGCCCTTCCCACACACTGTTATCATCACTAACATTGCACATGCTTGGAATATATCCTTCTTCTTTGTCACCATCTCCGGAACTGCTTCTGTGAAGAAATGTGTTGTAATATGCACAAAGGCATGCTAAGGATGTTGCAAAAGCATTTTTATTTAGAAGCTTTTGCTACATCCTTAGCATGTCCTTCCCACACAATATGTTAACGTCAGTGGTTCAATGGAGAATATTAGGGCCCACCTGCAAAGTCAGGTTTTGGGCCCCAAGTCTGATCTTACAAAAGATACTTACTTTGTATGAGACAGGCTATGGCTCCCCCGCAATGTGATGGTGTATGCGACACCACTAGTTATCATCACTAATATTGCACATTCTTGGAATATATCTCTCTTCTTAGTCCTCATCTTTGTAGTTTCTTCTTTGAAGAAATGTGTCATAATATGTATAAAAAGCGTACTAAGGATGTTGCAAAAACATTTTAATTTAGCTTTTGCAACATCCTCAGCACACCCTTCCCACACACTGTTATCATCACTAACATTGCACGTGCTTGGAATTAACCCTTTTTTTACTATCTCCGGAACTTCTTCTGTGAAGAAATGTGTTGTAATATGCACAAAAGGCATGCTAAGGATGTTACAAAAGCATTTTTATTTAGAAGCTTTTGCAACATCCTTAGCATGTCCTTCCCACACAATATGTTAATGTCAGTGGTTCAATGGAGAATATTAGGGCCCACCTGCAAAGTCAGGTTTTGGGCCCCAGGTCGGATCTTACAAAAGATACTTACTTGGTATGAGACAGTCTATGGCTCCCCCGCAATGTGATGGTGTATGCGACACCACTAGTTATCATCCTGATTACCACATTGTTATCTTTACTAATATTGCACATTCTTTTGGAATACATCTCTCTTCTTAGTCCTCATCTTTGTAGTTTCTTCTTTGAAGAAATGTGTCATAATATGTACAAAAAGCGTACTAAGGATGTTGCAAAAACATTTTAATTTAGCTTTTGCAACATCCTCAGCACGCCCTTCCCACACACTGTTATCATCACTAACATTGCACATGCTTGGAATATATCCTTCTTCTTTGTCACCATCTCCGGAACTTCTTCTGTGAAGAAATGTGTTGTAATATGCACAAAAGGCATGCTAAGGATGTTGCAAAAGCATTTTTATTTAGAAGCTTTTGCTACATCCTTAGCATGTCCTTCCCACACAATATGTTAACGTCAGTGGTTCAATGGAGAATATTAGGGCCCACCTG